GTCAGAATCTGGAAGTGAGTGCTTGTGAATCAGAGCAGTATCAGAATTTCCAACATAATTCTCATGTCTGATTCCCCCGAGCACAGATCTTCCTCCCCCTGTGACATACATACAACGGAGTGAACGTGCCAGCGGACTGGGGTCTCTAACATCATCTGTTAAAAACTCTGTATGGCCAGAGACCTCTAATGTGCTGCTAGAGTGGTACAGTCGTTTTGCACAAATTGTAGTGTGTGTGCCAACAGTGAGTCTGTGCTGTTGTTCCACAGCTTTTGAGTCATCCTTTCCTAAAATCTTTTTGGACACTTTTTTATCTAAGCAACTTCCAGATATATTTCCTATGCCATTGCTGTCTCTAGAAATGCTGCATTCACTGTCTGTTTCAGTCTGTGAAAAATTGTCCACGTGAGGTTCCATGCTGGAATGTGGACCTGATCTTTTCTTTCTCTGACTGTGAATGGGGCTTGAAGCATCACTGGAAGACCCAAAGGGTTCCTTAATAGGGCAGAAAGGCTTACTAAAAGCGTTCTGGCTTTTAGGACTAGCACTAAGAGTAAGAATAGGGGAAGAGGCCCTGTCCACCAACAGAGTATTTTTGCAATGAAGTTTTCTTTCTGCTGGAACCTCTAGCTCATTGGCACTTCTTTTACCCTGAGCATAAGATGATGGAGATTGAAAGCTGCTACTAGTAGGGCTGCTAACTACAGTGCATGAAGAATCATCTTGCCCTGAACTCACTGAAGAGGATGGAATGGATGAAACTTGGGCACTAGCAGGAGCAAAATTCTGCTGTGCATTTAACGATGGTTTTTGAAAATCTAAGGTGGAGGTGGAGGTTCTGTGTAAGAGAGGCAGGCACATAAAGGAATCTTCCAAAATGCTGTCAAGACTGTCATGGAAGTCAGCGTTGCCCAGATTTCTCATCTCTGTTCCTTCTTGTCCTTCTTCCAGAGAGAATGTTTTCTCCTTCCTTTTAGGAACCTTATCTGTTGCATCTGCACTGATTCCACTGAAATTGCAGTTTACTGCTTTAGCTGCCCTTAATTCATTTTCTAATTTTGTCTGCACTTGTTTTTCTTCATGTTTGCTTTGAGGTTCTTCCAAAGTCTCGGTTTGAGTGCCTATATCTGCTGTAGTCTGAGTGCAGCTGTCTGATCTAGTACTAGTAGCTTTTGCACCCTTTTCCATTCTGCTTTGGTAGATCTTGATATTCTGTTCGTTATCTATAATATTTTGTTGGGAGAGGTTTCCCAGAAGCTCAGAAGTGTTCTGAATAAGCTGTGACAGATGCATGGAGAGATTCTGCATACTTGTCCAAGAAGAATGTTGGTGAAATAGGTCCCTGTTTGTTTCCTGCCTTCTCGCAGAAACATCTGTGTAACTTCTCTGGTGTCTTCTCTGCCTTTTATACCTTGCTGTAGCCACTGTTTGTGTTCCCTGCTCACAGGTAACCCCTGGTGATTTTTTGGAAGACCTTTCTGACTCAGATGGATATAACAATACTATTTCATCAACTTGCACTGAAGAGTTACCAGGTTCTGCAGAAGGATTCTTATGTTCAGCAGTGTCATTTTCTGGATTAGTTTCCAGTGTTTCAATGGATACATTGCTGTACTGCTTGTTACTGTCACTCGAGTATGTGGATTCAAAGCCTGGTCTGGCATTGTCCCATCCTTGAAGACCTTCAATACTGCTTAAAGTGCTTGATAAAACTTTCGCTGTAGCATATGAACTCAGATGAGAATGAAAAGGAGAATTCTGAGAATTCAATCCATTGTCCACACTAGAACATCTCGTAACTTTACGATTATCCAGGTTTAAAGGCATTTGATGGTAAGAGACATCACTTGCACTTCCAAAAACATACTGCTTCCAGCCAATCTTGCATGATTCTTCTTGTTGCCATGGATGAATATATGGGTTGATATCACTTGAACTAAAATGCATTGCATCTTTACTGTCTTGCAAAAATAAATCTGTTCCTGCTTGGTACCCAGCTTCTTCACTACACTGAGCTACAGAACTGCTCTTTGAATGGATATTTTCTTTCGCACCCGCAGAACTGTGAGCTGAGGGCAATAAAGATGATGGAGAATGTACAGTACTGTCTTTTAAGGACTGGCTGCTTTGGGTCCTTGCTGTATAATTTTGTAATTTTTTTGGATCACAGTTGGCAATCTTCTTAGTGTGTGTCATTCTTTGCTGAAATCTGGGTTTAGATTTAACCTGCAAAATGTTCTTTGATTCCTGCTTTGAAAATCTTTCAATTACATGAAGATCATCTTCAGTTGGCGATGGAGGCTCCACGCTCATATTTAAATCTTGTAGTGATCTAGATGCAGAATATAACAAGGAATCTGCCAGAGAGGAAGCTTTGAAAGTATCATCTAAATCAGAGAACACAGCTAAGGCTGGAGCTGATAGTCTGTGACTTTGCAGATAAGGTCTCTGTTCAGTTTTGCAGTTCTTTGTATTATATGTTGTAGAACATGGCCTTCTGCTCCTGAATTGCACCAGTTGGGGTTCTTGGGAAGGCAAACCATGGTTTACCATGGTTGGTAAAAATTTTAAGGGAGTACTTTCATTATTCATTAGAGAAAATTTCAGTCTTTCTGATTTCATTATATCATCTCCTGCTATTGAAAAACTGTCAGCATGAACGTCAGAACCTGCATTATTTTTGCAAAGTAAAATCTCTTTTCTGTCATCTGTATTTGTTCTGCCTGGGTTATTATCACCCATAGGCACGTATTGACAATTGTCCTGCAGATCCGCAGGACTTTTTTCAAAACCTAAAACACTGTGATATGGTTGTCTGGGATCAGTACTTCTGCTGTTTGCAGGATATGCTGGACCAAATGAATCATAGGTGTGTTCAGGATCCACATTAACATCTCCTGGATACAGATGTTCCAACACCTCTGGGACTGTTAATTCATTTGTCGAATTTGAAGATACCTTAGTTTGCATTTCAAGATGTTCTTCATCTACTGTTTTCTCTTGCTTTTTCTTTACTGCAAAATGTTCAACCTCAGTACTTGAATGCAGTTCTTCCTCGTTTCTGTTAAGTATTTTTCTTGTCTGTCCCTCTTTAACCAGAGCTGATCTTTCAGTATCCCAAAGAGGTACTGTTGACAATACCAGAGATACACTATCATCTGGCACTTTCTCTGCATGTTCTGTGCAAGCTTTCTGTGCAGGAACTTTACCCCAGTGATGTTGATCAACTTCAGTATTATTGCCAAGTTGCTGACAGTTACTTCCATAGACAGGTTCCACATCTACAGCAGAATTCTCATATGAAGCAGAGTTTGTGTCTGATACTGGGTAATGCTTGTTTGCTTTTGCAAGAGAAAGTAAAATAATTCCTGAAGCATGTATTGGCTCATCAAATACCACAGACTTATCAGACTGGGTGTCTTGCACTTGTAAAACAGCAAGTGGAGAATGCTTTAATATACTTGCGTGTGATCTATCACACATGCCATTTTCACCATGGTCTATATCTGAAATTGGAGAAGATTCTGAAAATGTTCTCATGGATGGGTGATTAATTTCTGCAAATGCTGGGGCAAAGCCTTCTTTCACTGAGTGCAGATCAGCAGAACTAGACGATACATGCTCAGTCAAAAAGGTGTCTTGAAGTGAGACTTCAAGCTGACTAACTGTTAGAGATTTTGAGTCATCGAGTGAACAAGTGTTGAAGACGCTTACGTTTTTGGAGTTCTGAAGCAGTATATCAGTTGGGGTATTTTCTGCAAAGTAGGATGGAGCATGCTTTGATTCTTCACTGCCAGTCTTTCCTTGGCTTTGAAAAATGGGCACTCCTGATTCTGGTATAGTCACACTAGAAGTGTTACTGTACTGTTCTAAGTATTCAGGCATTTTATTTTCTTTAGTATAATTGCAGTTCTGAAAAGAATCTTGAATTATTTTCCCCACTTGATCAGTTCCCACAGTTTCTTCAGGGATTTTATTACCTTGAGCATCTGTAGCCTCTGTAACCGCAGAACTGTCATCGTTTTCATCTCCTTTTTGTGGAACATCAGGAAAAGTTATACATGCACTTAAAACAGTTGATTCACTTTCAAAGTATTTTGTTTCTTCAGAGAGAACAGCATCATTTTTACATTTCTCTCCACTGCTGTCAGTCAAATCATTTGCAAATGATCTTGGGCTATTCAGGAGACCAGCAGAATGTTCAGAAGTACAAGATTTCCTCTTGTAATTTGGAAACCTTACTGAAAGGGTCGAAATGTTCTCAGAAACAGTGATCTCGGGATAGTCTACACAGCAATCCTTGGAAGTCTCATGTCCCTGACAATGTCTTGGCTCACTCTGGCATGTCTTGATATCCAGAAACTTTGCATTATCATTATTACTGCTTGTTATAGTATAATTTGTGTTTAAGCATTTCTCTTTGTTATCACATTGTGTTGAACTTCCTGAGTGAAGTTCTCTCTCAGCTGTATTAATGTTGTGAAATATATTTTGAGAAGAGATTTCCAGTAAAGCATGCTTTGTTTTTCCCCCCATATCTTCCCTTGCATCTTTCTCTGAAGGAGAAAGCAGGCTTGAATTATTGAAGAGCAGCTCATCAGGCATTATGGTATCTTCTTCCTCTTGATCTTTTCTTTCTGTGGAATTAAAGCAGTCTTTTGATATTTTGTTAATCATTAAATCTACACTGTGTTCTTCATGTGAGTTAACACCCTCAATTGTATCTTCAGAAGAGTCTAATTCTTCTGAGGAAAATGAATTTCCTTCAGCCCCTTGCTTAAGCTCAACCATTTCAGGTTCATGATTGTCCACTCCACAGGGCATAGAAAAGCTGTTCGCGTTGACAGGTTGCCCAGATGTGGAATAATCATTTCTAAATACAAAGAGGTCTTCCTCATGTCTGTCCTTTGTGGTCGTGTTTTGCAGTAAAGCTTCATTTTTACTTTGAATTTTGTCAGAATGAGCTTTGTTGTTTCCCTCTTTTTTGACTGTTTTAACAGGTGTATCAACAGAGGCCTCATTCTCCATTAATGTTTCATAGTACAGAAGAACAGCTTCAGTTCCAACATTGCCATTAGATGGTTTTGTGTGACCTTTCAGTGCAGTGGAAGCATCTTGAACAAGATGGGAATTATCACTTACTTCAAGACATAAAAGGTGACTTACAGATGGGCACGGGGAGTCTTTAACTGAACTTTCTTGGATGTTTTTGGTAGACTTCAGTGTTGCTGCTGAATTTTGCTGTTTGCTGTTATCTCCATTATTTGTAGAAAAGCTAGTAGATACCCATTGGCTTTTTTTTAAGATTTCACTTAGTCTGTTGTCCTCATGACAGCTGTCTTTGCTTTCAGGGAATAATTCATTCAGGTTTTGTAGAACTATCAGTTCTACCTCCTCCCTGTTTCCTAAAAACATCTGCTTCTCTGTTTTGTCCACTGCTTTCAGATGCGCTTTCTCATCAACAGTTCCTGAGCCTGTAGCATCCAGTCCACAAATTTCAGGTCTTCTAATAACACTTACGTTCAAGTTTTCTGAAGTGCCATGCTCAGGATATTGTGTTGAACAACTCAGATACACATGGCTGTTCTCTTTAATATGAAGACTTTTAGATTCTTCTTCAAGTCTGTATTGGTCGTTACAAATATTATCATCAGCTGAATACTCATACACATCTATATCTTCCATAGATGTATTTCTTGTATCTGTAGCAGAGTCTTCTGAGCCACCATCTTCATTCATTTCAAGAGGACTGTGGTATTGTGAATCATCTACTGACAGTGTATTCTCTCCTAGTCCTGAAGGTGTAAGGTATCTTTCAGGGATCTTGAACTGATTTAAAATTTCCTCTTTGTCATCTCTGTTACAGTACATCTGATGCAGAGCTGGAAATTCTTCAGTAAATTGAACATTTTCATCTGTGTGTTTGTCTTCTTGATTCCTAATAACCATTTCCTCTGTGTTTGTCACGATGATTTGCTCTTCACTCCCAGTCACTTCACATACATCAATCTCGTTTTTCTGGTCAAAGTCTTCATGGGGCAAACTATGTGGCATGTAATGTTCAGTTAAATTGCTAGAATCTATTTTTTCTTCATTTTCGTTTTTTTCTAAAATATTTCCTTGCCTATCTGTGATTAGTTCCATAGTTTCTATATTCTCTACATTAAACACATTTTCTCTTGTTCTGTTCATCTGCAAAAGCCCTTCACAAGCATCAGGTAAGCCTTGAGCATTCTGAGTAAAATCTGTTCTGTGGGAATGCATAGCTGAAGGTGAGCTTTGGGGAGAAACAGAAAGCTCTGGTGAATAAATGCTGATTATTTTCTCACTTTCCTCTTTTTGAAAAAAGCTATCAGAGTGCATGAGTACTTTTGACTCCTGAGCGTGTTCTATACCCGTGCTAACTACCTGTAATTCATCTTTCTCTGCCTCTTCAAGTGTCAGGTGCAGATCTGTATAAAACTCGCACTGAACCTCAGAATGTATGATACGAGTGGGTTTCTTCAGATTCTGAGATAGATCGATGCCTTTAAAATTCTCACCACTCCTATCTGCAGTTACACTTTCAACTTCGGCTACTGAGCAGTCAGGTACACTTTCTATCTCTCTTGATTTCATTTTCACTCCATTTTCCTCTAGGTTGTTTGCACTATTGTTTAACTTCGTCATTTCTCCAGTGTTTGCTTTTGTATTCTGATAAGGAACCACAGTTTCTTCTGGATCAGCTTCTGGGTTTCTTAAAAACTTGGATTCTTTACCTGTACATAGACTCTCCTCTTGAGAAACAGTACCTAGTGTATCTCTGTTGTATTCAAATACTCTTCTCAATTCTGAGTTAAAATGGTCTTCAACAAGCAAAACGTCCTCTGGGCAATCACATTCAAAAAAGGGTTCTTTCTCTTCTCTTGATTCAATTAAGAACTTTGTTTCTGTTTCCAAGGGAATGGTTGCATCAGATTCCACAGAACTGTCAGTCGCCTTACACATACGGTTCTTCTCCCCTGTTGATGTCGAAGAGCACGTTGTACAAAGACAGTTGGAATGTATGACAGAACAACATTTTGTGGCCCTGGCTTCCACAGTGTGATTAGATGTAGCATCACAATCTCCTTTCACTATTGTAACATGCTCTAACAGCGTATCATAATTTTCAGTCTCAGATGCACTTTGAAAAAAATTAGCTTTTGGCGAAGCTTTGTAAAATATGCTTGAATTGGATTCTGGGAGCAAATCACCTGTGTTCTCACCAACAGCGGCAGGGAAGGACTCAGCGTCCTGCCCATTTACATTCACTGTGAGATAACTAACTTCATTTACCAGTAGGTTCTTATATTTGGATGAAAACTCTTTCTGATCTGTAACCCGAGAGTTCAACATACCGTGTTCTTTGCTTTCACCGCTTTCTTCTCTTATGTTGTCAGCACACAATGTAGAATTTTCTGAAACGTGCTGGGACAGGCAACTTACAGGACTGTCTGCTAGACAGCACCCATAGGAGTAATTTTTTGGAACGGGTTTGCTTTTAAATTCATAATGATTTAATGAAGACAAGTCTTCATCCCTTGGTTCATGTTCTTCTTTCTCTCTGAGTGAAGGCTCCTCTGATATAATCTCTGATAGGCTGTCTATGCTTGTTTCCATACAGATTTTCTCTTTTTCATACATCTCTATTGGTGTTGCACTGTAAGCAATAACTAAAGGGTTACATTTATGTGTTACCTTCTGTGAGGAAAAATCTGTGTTTACAGTTGCTGCTTCTGCAGGTATTTGTTCATAATCTGTATCTTGCAGTGCTTCCAATTTACTTTCCCTAGACCTGAGGAGACCTTGTGCAACAGCTGATTCTGCCCCTTGTCCAGCTCCTTGATGCTCCTGAGTGCTTCCCGGGGAGCACTTCTTATTTGTTAAGTCATTGAGAAAAAAACTTTCATCACAACACGTTGGTATTTCCCTTCTTGGAAAAAGCTGCACACAGTTTCCAAAATGTACTTGTTTTTCTGCTGAAGCCTGTGTTGAGACTACATTATAGGCAAGTTTTGTAGAAGATCCAGCAGCAGATGCACCGACAGGCGTACTGCCAGCGTTTGAATCTGTTATCCTTGGTTCTATCATTGAGTTATTGCAGTCATCATCTAGGTCATCTTTTTCAATAGTTCTGAGGAAATTGCCTTCTAAGTCTGCTTCCACACAGCTGTTTCTCTTCTCCAAAATGTACACAGGCAACACAGAAACAAAAGGTGGCTTTTCCAGCTTGAGATCTTTCAACAGTTCTGGATGAGTTGTAGGGAAAGAACCCTCCTCTTTTCTGCCTATTGGTGACAAGCTGTCTGCAGTAGAGAAGCTTTCCAAACAGCTGAACGCTTGTGTGCATTCAGTGGTAGACCTGTAAGTGGATAATTCATTTATTTGTTCTTGTTCAGGATGATTTGCCATTGAATGTTCATAATAGTCAGGTTTTACTGAAATATGAGCAAAAGAAGAGCTTGGTCCTATTGAACTTACAAATGTGGATGTTATGTCTTGAGATTCCAAGGAAGAATTTTCATCTGCGTTTATACATTCCTCACTCTCAAAGCTTCTGCTTGCAGCTGTTGTTTCAGGTAAAGGTATTTCTGATGTGTCAGAGGAGAAACTTGTGTCTATTTCTTTTATACCATGTGATAAATGAGTAATGCTGTGTATCTGCTTAGAGCCAGAAACAAAAGAAACTTCAGCAGCTGACTGTTTTAGATCATCTTTCTTCAGCCAACCTTTCGGTTTGCTCAAAGAATAGAAATGAGCATCTTGAAATTCTAGATGCTCATGGGAAGAAGGCGCTGTTATTCTGGGGCTGCTGATTTCAACCTTTGAGTCATAGGATGACCAAGCACCAGTTGTAAGCAAAGGATGTCCACTTGCATAATAAAGTCTTCTATCAAGTGACCTTTCTTGCTGTGCAAAAGAGACCTTTGCATCCTTCAGAAACTGCTTGCTAGCATTATTGAAAGCAGGCTGTTGCTTAGTGTCCAAATAGAAGGAACTACTCAGCTTCAGATTGTAATTTGTTACTTCTGTATCTCTGCTGCAGATCTTGGACTCATGGCCTTCTTCAGCCTGTACAGTTGGTGGTCTTGGAGTTTGCAACTTCCAAAAAATCTCTGCTGGGACTTCATCAGATGAATCAGATTTGGATTCTTCTACTGGATCTTCTGTTGGCACCTCTTCTCCATCACCCAAGCTGTCCAGAGAAAAGCTTCTTTCAGCCTCTCCCAGTCTCCTGTGTGATGCATACGATGTCACTAAAGATGAAACATGGTGTTCAGATCTGCTTTTGTAAAGCTTAGCTGGCTGGTGGCAGGCCTTTAATTTCTGAAACTGGCTTTTATTTTGCTTTTTGGCTTTATTTTCCTTTTCTACCAGAGAGTCTTGTGACATTTGACTGTCATCACTCTCAGAATCTTCTGGGTTGGCAAGACATTTATTTCTGTGGAAATCATCTTGCTTCAGCTTCTCTGTGAAAGCTTTTGCATAAGCGCAGGAGAGTGAATCTACAGAGTAAGTACTGTCAGTATCAGAAATCTCATTTTCCTCATCTTCTTGCCAGTTCCCGAGCACGTCTGTGGCTGTTTTAGACATTCCAGCACTTAACAGCTCAGCACTATGCCATTTTTTTTCAACAGAGAGTGGTGCCTGTGTGTTCATCTTAGTGAGATTTCCAACTGATGTTGCCACCATCAGAAATTCTTGATGTTCCACCGATGAGTTCTCATTACTTTGTAAGTCTGAGGGTGGCACTCTCTCCAAATTCTTAGCTGCTTGATTTGGATGTGCAGATGGTAGGTTTCCATACACTACTGCTTTCTTGATTTTGTTAACAAAATTTTCTGGGGAAGGACTATGGCCTTTTGTATTGATATCCATTCTCGTCTTTTTATTGGACACCTGAGCTCTGTTTTGTTCTAGACAGCTATTTGCAGGCTGACTTAAATCTCCTAGCACCTTTGTTTTTGTCATTCTTGTCCCTGTAATAAAGGTTTCAGGCTCATTTTTCTCCTTACAACGATCAGGAGAGGAGCCTTTAGAGGTCTGTTTTTGACATCCAGCCTCCTCTGGGCCGTCATTCAGCTTCTCCATTTTTTGATCATTTTTATTGATATGAGCCATGACAGCTGAGTGATTACAGTCCCTTTCTGCCCCTTTTTTATTTCCAAATGAAGATACTTTTTGTTTCTCAGATAGCTGCATCTGAACTAAAAAGGAGATACCTTTTTCATCATTGAAGTCATCACTCCTGGAAAAGTCTTTAAATTTTCTGTAACAGTATTCCACGGATGAAATCTTCCCTGGTGTATTGCCTTCGGAGCATTGATCAGTATTTGGCGAGGTAGATAACTTTGAGATTGTTTCCCCATTCAACAAACGGCTGTGGAAATAAAGAAGAAATAAAGCCCAATACTTGCTTAAATAACATGCTTCATGTTTCCATATTAGTAGCATCTTGCAGTTAAAAGTAATGACGTGAAACAACCACCTTAACAACGAATTAATACCTTGAATGCTAAGTTGTACAGCTTGATATTTGGCTTGAGAAGGTTAATCAACTTCAAAGTCCAAGGCAGAATCACACTAGTAAAAGTATTCTGAAGGAATAATTTGATTATAATCACAATAATAATGCAGAAACAAATATTTACCAGCAACACAAAGGCGGCAAGAACAAAGTTGAGCAAGCTCTGGCAAGCAATCACAATGAGGTAAAACTCGCAGAAAGGATTGATGGAGGAAAGAAATAAACAGCAAGACCACGTCAGAGACCTAAGTAGGGAATACACTGCATAAATCCAAGGAAAGCAGCAAACAGCTCCAGTGTGATGTACAATATACTACGTGATACCGCAAGTTTTAAGGATTGTTTCAGTAAGCTAAAAGGCATTCTGGATTGCAGGTAGCCATTGAAAATACCATGAATTTAAATAATATTTGACATTCAGAGGAATTGGGAGATGTTGACTCACCTGGGTACCTGGGGCAGATGGATGTTACAGAATGAATGCTGACTGTGCAGTGAGTAACTCGAACCCAATGACCTCCTCCTGTTCTGTAACTGGTGATCCACAGAGGCCTGCCCTGCAATATTTTCATTTGGGATGTGGGATTGTTTCACACGAACTTCACTGAGCCAGCAGTTAGCTTCCAGCTGCTCTAGGTTTTGCTTAGCTTCCAATAACTTCTGCTTCTTGACTATCCTTTCCAGCTGGAATTTGACCTTTTTACGTCTTATGTTTCTTTCAGCCTTTTTTAAGGAGCACCTTCGCAGGAGCTCCAGCTGCACCAGTCTCTTCTTGTTCTGCTGTAGCAGCGAAGGCAAGATCTCCAGACCAAGGCTACTCTGTACCTCAGCCTCTGCGTACAACGTAGATTCTGTTTGCACTGCAAATTCTCTCTGCTGTTGCTGAAGGGCAGCTAGTCGGTTACTCTCATTTATAAGCCACTGTTGGTCTGCAAACAATGATTGAAAGAAAGTAAAAAGCATAGAAATAACATTGTTCATTAATTTAATTAGCCGAGAATCCACTGAAGAACAGAATTCCTATGCAGATAGAGCAAATCTATCTATCTCTATGTTAATGAAGAAAATAAAATTTAATGCACATACTAATGAGCCTTTGGTAAATAAATTCCTACTGTTTAGTGAAGAAAATGCAATATTAAAATGTAACTGACTCCTCATCAAAGAGTTTGAGTGTTTTACAGCTGCTGTAAGACAAACACGGCTTTATACACATTTTTGCTCATGTCCTTTCCTTTAAAATTAACTTGAATGGACCAAAAAAAAAATCCACCTGCCAACTATTTCCTCTCGTTTCTCTATACATGCTGAAAATGAAGGAAATTAAACTCATGCTGAGGGACTTTGTGTTCAGCACATAAGAAACTGGTGGTACGTTCAGTAAACTTGAAAGCTTGATCTTCCAGCACTACAGTCAGGATGTGCATCATATCTGGGGCCTGCTGCCAGCCCTCAGGCTCGTGGATAGGCATGCAGCCTACTAAGTGGTTTGAAGAAAAGGCTACTAGGAAGCTTCCAAGTGGCTGCTTGCTGGGCAGTTCTGCTAGCCTCTCTACCCACCAGATGGAAATTTCTCAAGCAACACAAACATTGTGCGGTATCTGGGCTGAGGTGAAGCAACAACCACAAAATTTTCTACCTGTTGTGATTATGGCTGCTCCAGAGCATTTCATAAATGCCTGGTGGGAACCCATGTACCGTGAATACGAGCAGGTTAGCATGCAACATGTTTGAAATTATTCAAAAACACTCACAGCAAGGATACAAGTGAAATCAACACAACCATGAGTTGTCAGTATGAACACATACAAACTCATATCACCCATCAATGCATATTTTTTCATAAAATCAGGAGTCTACTCCCAAAGAGAATTGGATTCTCCCTTTTTTATGAGCATTCCCCAAATTTCACAAATGCTTAATATTCTTTTCTAACAAACCAATTGATTAGCCTTATTTAATAAGAGTATATTACATTTGTTTACATTTTTAATCATCTCTAAATCTTTGGAGAATCTCATCTTCGCAGTCAGTAGAGAAGCAGTAGAGAAGAATAGGATCTGCTCTGTTAAAAACTTTGTTCACGTTTATGCTGTTATGAAAATATACATATTCAGCTGCACAGAGGAACAAATATATCATTAGCTGAAAAAGCAATATAGAAAACCACACTCAAAGTTCCTTCATACATGAGCATTTCTCAAAGGACAGACGCTTTTCAAAGCACTTTAATCTTCCTAGCAACACTATTTTGGCTGGGCTTAGCTTCAATGTGCTTAGCTGCAGCCCCTCACCGAGGAGCCACCTTTAGTCACTTATTCATGGAGTTAGGAAATAAGAGTTTGACATGGTCACGAGCCCTGTGCATGACAGCTGAACTACGTGAAAGGATTTGGGGGCTGTGGATGCTTCCCTAATGGAAGAAAAATAACCATCTTTATAAGCATTGCCAGCATCAGTTGTTTGGTAACTACAAATCTCATTAAACATTCTTCGTTAGTGATTCCCACCTGAGGGAGTCTCCAGTTTACATCCTCAGCTAGACACACAGAAGTAGTGATACTTTATAGATAAGTATGTTTACCCTATGGATAAAATGAAAGCATTTTAGTCATAATCTGTTATTACTTCTTAGTAACATCTTAACCTTCACTTACAGAAGACTTTCCTCAACTCTTTATTCCCAGATCTGCCCTCTTCAGCATGTTTCTAGGAAGCAGAATATTTGGCAGATGAGTGCGCCCCTGTAATAGACCTGAAAGTTCTAAGACACTAATTAATGTCTACTCACAAACTTGCCTCTGTCAGAAGCTGAGAAAAAGAGGGTGCAAATAAGGCAAAAGAACTCTGGTGGGCTGCCAAACAAAGAATTATATTTGGCTGCAAAAACTGCTTGTCTGGCTAAGCTTAATACGAGCACAGCTGAACAGTGGAACTAGACAGGAGCAGAGAATTTGTCCTGTTTCAAGAAATACGTTTTGGAGAAGCTCTGTACTGCCTACACACACTAGGTCTCCTTCTGATACTCCCCATCTCCACAATTTTCCTTTTAATTTCTTCCTTGCATTTGGCATAATTTAAAGATGGTAAACTGCCTAAGTTTGGCTCTGGGAAGCCTCTAAACACTCAGAAATTATTCCAGGAACCAGTAGCAGGCTTTATGAAATGGAAATGGTGCCTTTGCAATAGACGTACTCTTCTTATCAAGAAACTTGGATCAGACCATTCAATAGAAGACAACAGGAAGAACACTCTATCTACCCTATTTCAATGCTCAAAAGCTTCTTAAGATTTAAAATGTTACCAAATCTCCCTACAAACTCTGTTCAGCTCCACCAGGACAAGTCTTGCTAAATATGTTTTCGTGCAAAGCAGCATCACTCAGGGCCAGAAGTCATTGATGCTGACAAACACCTCTCCAAATATGCTGTGGCTCCACCTTTTGCCATAGCTATTTACTATTCAGAATCTGATCACCGATCTAATCTCTAGCTTGAATAACACTATAAGAACTTGCTAGAAATAACTCCTATTTGAACCAAAGCATGCCTTTTTTTTTTTTTTTTTTAATACAGTTTTGTTAAAAATAAAAACAGCAATGGAGAATGCAATACCACATATCAATCATCTTTAGGGTAAATAAAACTTGCATCTTACTTTTAATCTTAATTTGTCTCACTTCTGTTTCTACCACAGAATTTCTTCCTACATTTTTATTTCATACTACCAATGCTTTGTTCCTACTTATAGACTTGGATGAAATCACCTCCAGCTTTACTGTGATCAAGGCAAACAGACTGAGCTCTCGGGATCATTTATTATACTATGCTACCCCATATAGGTTTGTTAGAGTCATCATAATATACCTCTAAACTTGTATGTCCTCTGCAACTGTGAACATCACAACTATTCTCAACACTGCAAACAGTAATCATGCCAGTGATTGGACAAGAATCATCTTAGTACGTTTTCTAATCCCAATCAGGCTGTTTATGTACCTAAGAATTAGTTTCTCTTCTGTCGAATCTCCCATAAACATGTATCGCAACACATCTTCATAGGTTAATCAGGTCTTTCCCTAGCTGACAGTAACTAATGAGAGGCCACAGAACAAAGTGAAAGACACAGGAAAATGAGAAAACTGAGAAAAAGAGGCTGTCAGAGGTTTGCAGAGTGAATTAGGCTCCCATTGAGATGAACAAAAAAACCCAGTATAAACAAAATCTGAATTCAAAGTGATTCTTGAAAGCTAGAGAGCTACCTTTTCACTGAACTTTTGAAAGATCACTTATCTTCTGATGTTTTGGGATTTCAAAATGTTTCAAGCTTTTCATGGTATAGTTAGCATAGAGCTGAGGTTTGTGTCAAACCAACATCATCAATACTTTACCTAGGAACAAATTTTTTACTCAGAGGGTGGTGAGGCACTACAACAAGTTGCCCAGACAGCTGTGGGTGCCCCATCCTTGAGGCATTCTAGGCCAGGCTGAATGGGGCCCTGGCAGCCCGATATAGTTGGTGGATGGCAACTCTGCCCATGGCAGCGGGGTTGAAATGAGGTGATGTTTAAGGTCCCTGTCAATCCGAGGCATTCTATGAAGCACAGAAATACTGATAGAAAAGTAGAAAATGCAACAGCAGATTCTGTCTATATTGCTGCAAGGGAGAACTGTACTGCAGATATAATCAGAGCAAAACTAGAGAAGCAGGATGGGGAGCAACTGGAGAGATGAGAGGCTTGGTGCCACAGGAGGAGCAGTGAGCCTATCCCAGTCAAGACCTGCAGAACTAATTAAACAGTGCTGCTGGTGCTCTGCAAAGTTAATCAGCGCTTGATAATTCTCAAAGGAGTTCTCAAAGGAGAGATAATCATAAGAGAAAATTAGTACTCTGCTGTAAAAAACAATAGTAACAACAACAACAAAATTACAACAACAACAAAAACTTCCACCACAATACAAAGCCTAACTAGGACAAAAACACAAAGAGGATGAAAGAATGCAATTACAGAAGAAAACTGAGAGAGGGGCAGGTACTTACTTTCTAGGATCTGCTGGTTGATGAGGGCTTGGTCATTTTCCAGTTCTCTCTCTGCTTTGACCTGTCCTTTGAGGATCTGCTGCTTTAAATTCTCAACATAGAGCTGCTGCTGTTGGATTTGTTTTCTGTGGAAAGCTTCCTGCTCTTTCAGTTTCTTCTTGTACTCTTCATGCACAGCATCTATGTCTCTGCAGTTCAAAATGTTGGCAATTAATTTAAACAAGAAAAAAATACCAAGCATTTGTAAATGCAACACGTCATCTTACTTACTAAAGAAAGAAAACTTACTAAAGAAAGACAATGTTCTGGATATTGCTTTGTTCATTAAGGGTGCATTACACAAAGAACTCGTGATGGTAGAGAGTATATGCACATCACAGCAGGCCACAGTCCTGGAACTGTCAGAAATGTCAGCTTTCACCATGAAAATTGCTATAGTGAAACTGAAAATCCCATCACCAGAAAGAAAACAACAGAAATAATTTAAAAAACACGTCACTTGTCATTTTGCTTCCAAAGGGGAAGCGGGGGATGGGAAAGTGGTGTTTATGTTTTATAAGTTAATGATCATATATAGGATGTTTTTCACCCAAGGACTTAAAAAAAAAATAAACAGAAATAGAAATGAAAAGGTTTTGGTTTTTTTTTTCCTTAAAGATAAAAAATCTTAAATCTGGAAAGAAATATGGGAATTGCTGAGATTACATCAAAGGTCTCCAGCAGCACCAAGGAAAGAATTCAGTCACCCAACTCTCTCTCGTTTGCAACTACTGCAGGTTGCTCTGTCTATATCTGGAGTAGAACGGCGATCAGAAAAGTTACTATCCTGTAAACAACTCCATGCAGTCCCTCCAAGTGGCCTGTTTCCTGACTGTGCACCAAATGTCATGTTGTTTGTAAAATCATTATCAATCCAAGGCCAACGAGCCTCTGACCTTTGCTACATCAGGATTTATTTGTAATCTCTATCTACAACCACAGGCATGTGTTTGAAGCAGCTATTTCTATAGCAACAACTTTATGTACCAGATTAGCAGACAAAGCAGATGTAGCAATTAAGCAGCTAACATCCTCACATCTGATGGAGTCCCTCTAGATTGAACATTCATTTTCACTTTCCTAGGAAGCAGCAGGAAAACCTGACTATATAAATGAGTTAAGATTCTCAGTAATTGAAAATATTATTGACCCTCTTTCATTCACCTGAGAAAAACAGAATTCAGTTTGTTTTTTATGTTTATGTAACTGTAATTCTGATGAGAATAACAGAAGAGGAGCATGTTCTGTTCTGTTACCTTACATGGTGCAAGCAATCTGAGTAAAAGTTTTGTCCCTTCCATTTTCTAACTTTTTTGAGTCTATTTGAGACTTACAGAAACAAATTACAATAGGGATCTCCAAGACCCATTTGTATTTGGCTTGACTGCTAAGATTTCAACAATCTGTGATGTATACTTATTTCTATTTAATAAATGGTGTTTGAATTCCAGGAAATAGGACTGGATTGCCTGGTTTCTTATTCACTTGAAGTAGGTTTAAATAGACACTTCACTGCTGCACTGAAGGGTCTCCTATGGCCATTTCGTACCCAAGCTTTTCAGTTGTTTGTAGTGACATCAGCTACGGGGAAACAAACACAGAGGTTAAAGGTAGGCTGGTTAACTAAGGAAGAATCAGTTTTTGAGTATGAAACAAAATCCAAAGGGTTTCATTTCAGAAGAGCTCCCATGGTTTTTATTGTAACTCTGAAGGAAGCTTTCCACAAATTAGGCTTCCAGGTTACGTTGTGTATTTTCCAGAGAAATGTAATGGAGCAGCAACATAACGTGGAGGTTATTATGCTGCTACTGCTCTGACATAGACAATCACAATGATTTTGGAGCAGTTATATCACCTCTGTGCTTTCATGCACTTACACTGCAAGGCCTTCAGGGCAAGGACTACTTATGCACTTCTTAGTTCAAGAGAGCTTTTATGTCAGCTGAAGCCTCCTCTTGCAAATGCATTAAAGTAATAAATGTTAACAGCAATTGTAAACGTAAAGTCTCTGCAAAAGGTCTAATTCTACTTATGGTGGATCTGATGATCTGATATCTGTAATGGTAACACATCTGGAAAATCTGAGACTGCATGTGCACGACCTTGTAAAAGTCACTTAGTTTGAGACACGTGCAAAAGAAACAAAGTACGTTCATCCAAGAGAAGCGAGGAGGATCCATAAACCACATCAAACATCAGAAAGCTCAATATTAGAAGAGATTAACTCTATTTGTTCAACATTATCAACAGTATTCTATATAAGACTGAGGAAATAGAATAAGTCATGGCCAATAATGCTGAAAAGCAGAGTTTGTTAGCAGAAGAGTAGACAAAGAATTCCTGTTCTGCATCTACTTACTAAAACTAGATACAATTTCTTTTAGAAAAATGTGTTATGTTCTAAGATCTCAAAAAATGCTCGCAGAGGTAGTTAAGTAACATCTGTTTACATCTGGGAGAGGGTAACAGGCTCATACTTTCCAACAATGCTGAAACCAACTCCCAACTCCCAGCCATATATTATAATGAACTGGAGAATAAGCAGTGCAAACAATGGACACAGAAATGCGGTGTTTACTGTTCTCAGCAGCACTAGCATATTCCCTCATGCAGATTTAATAGCTTTTTGCTGATCTAACATGAAACTGTAAAATCTTTTCCAATAAGCACATGTGTTTGCACATGAAGGCAGAACACAATGCAGGCCAAACGAACGTTATTGCTTACTGCTCCACACTATCATTACACCCCATAAGGGCAAAGAGTACACAGGCATAACCATAATTTGCTTTAAATCTTGGAAAAGAAACATCACAGCAACCATCACGGTACTATTGCTGCCTTGTTTTGGTGAGGTAGCTGATGGATACAGTTCTCTATGGTGAAAGTTTCTGTAACAAAAGGCAGGTTGACTGCCTCACCACTGCTGAGGGTACATACATACACTGCAGTTCTGCTGCTATTTCAGTTCCTTTTTGCCTCATCTTCTATCCCCTAATTTTTTAACAGTACAAAACAAAAGCCAGTCAGGGTAGTAAGGACAGCTCCGAATACAGGAGATTGAACATCAAAGCTTTTTACAAAGTTGCTTTTTAAAAATAGCTTTCTCAAGCGAGAGAAAAAGATTATGAAAATTCATGCACAGCCACTTACATAACACAGGTACTATGGCAGAACAGGGAATGCTTTTCTTCTGCTTGTCAGATACTGACCACAAGAGCAAAATGACTGGCTGGTTTGGACTCGAGATACAGATCTATCTCAGGAACTGCTGATACCAAAACCATGAATTGAGAATGCTCCCTTTCTGCTGCTGAATACACTATGTCATGTCAACACGTCCTTGATAGTTTATAGAAATCATACCATAAATTAAACTCAAAAATGAGATGACAGTAGCCCCAAAAGAAAACAACAGATTCACGCCCACTTAGGGGCTAAATCACCCAGTGCACAATTTTAAAAAGAGCTTCTGTAACAGGTATTTGAGTGGCTAAAATAAAGACAAATATCAATCAAATTAACATAAGAATATAATATTCTGAAATAGGCAAAAATCAGTCATTTCTTTAAAATATCTTAACTAATATATACTATATAACTATATAAATACAATATATAATATATGTAATATATGCATTAAGTGTAGACTTAAAATACAGGAATCCTATGAAACAGGAATCAAGCACAGATACATTTCTGCTACTGCTTGTATTCCTTCCTTCCCACAGCAACCTTTCCCCAGGTTAGCTCTAGCTATATAACCCCAGGATAAACATAAGACAAACAGTTTCATTTTTGCTGATATCAAGACAAAGGTAACAAAATCCTTATTTCACAGAACTTGGTATTCAGCATTAAAAATAAATGCAACACTGCATAATATTTCACAAAAGCATGCAGATTTCTAGATATACCAAATGCATCAAGAAGTGTCAACAGTTACCCCTCCCTCCAAGTAAGCCTTTAAAAACAGGAATTAAAATTACAACAGAAAGAGAACAATCTTAAAATAAGGATAACAAATTACTAAGAAAATCTTCATATTATACCCATATTGCCGGATTGCTTTTCCGTCTCATTTTTCTCTCCACAAAGTTTGCATGACGCATGCTAAATGAACCATCTGTAAATCCACATTTTTTCCAGCCTGTTTTGTCATCAGCTCTCCGGGATCCTATTCTGCAATTCTCCTCCCCTCTTCCCCAAACACTTCCACTGCTGTTGCAGAGGCTGGCGGCTCCTACAGCATAATGCAGCTTTCAGTAACTATGGCAGCGATAGCTCTGTGCTGAGGCAGAAGGCTTTCTGCAACAAAATCTTAAGGCTCAGCTAGAGAAACTCAAGTGGATAAAAAAAGAAAAGAAAAAGAAAAGAAAAAGCGAGGAATACTTGC